CTGGCGCGCGGATGGTGGGCGAGGTGGAGGAAGAGGTGGAACGAGACAACCATGACGACGAGGGACGCGGGAGAAGGGGTGAGAAGGCCGAGACGTGAAATTGGACACGCTGGGAGCTCTCGCTTCAAAATAGTGGAGACTAGCTCACGAAATTTGTGGCATACAAGATAGTGAGCAATCGAGTCAGGACGTGGACAGCCTAAAACACACAGACATTCGTCATCTCTGTCGTGAAAGCGTGAGCGAGTGGGCCAGCCTCCACAGAGAGTCTTTACACACGCCTGAGACCAATGAGGCTGGAGTTTCTGAATGACGGCCTGGACAGGAGGCCAGTCGATGGACTCGATCACAACTCTGGCCTCGGGGAAATAGGCATGAAGACGACGAGAGAAGGTGAGGTGCAGAGCGGAGGGGAAAAGAGAGGCATGTAAGGAGGCGGCAACAGTCTTCTGCAATTTAAAGCGCGTGCTGGGGTCGGCCAAGAGATCTTTTCCCACGGCGACAGCTGTAGCACCCGCGGAGGCCCATGCGGGGTATCCCTTAAAGCCTTCAGCAGCCTCTTGGAGAAGGGAGACGAGGGGCCTCGAGGACCAAAAGGAGGGGGAGAGATCGTGGGCGACCAATCGAACCACAGGGAGGTTCCTGTCAGCACAGTTCTGCATTCTTTGGAGGAGCTGAGGCCATTGCGAAAATGTCTGAAGCGACCCCCGAATGAGGGTGGCAAGATTCCTCCTCCTCCTCCTCCTCCTCCTCCTCCTCGTCCTCCTCCTCCTCCTCCTCCATCCTCATCCTCCTCCTACTCCTACAGTCATCATATACCTCCTCCCTCCTACCTCTCCTCTCCTCCTCCTCATCCTCCTCCTTTCCTCCTCCCCTCATCCTTCCCTCCTCCTCCCTCATCATCCCTAACTCCCTCCTCCCTCCATCCATCCTCCCCTCCTCCCTCCTCCCGTCCTCACTCCTCCCTCATCCCCTCCTCCCTCCTCCCTCCTCCCTCATCCACTCCCCCTCCTCCTTTACTCCATTTCATACATCCTCCCTCCTCCCTCCTCCCTCATCCCTCCTCCCCACCCTCCTCCCTCCCTCCCTCCTCCCTCCTCCTCCTCCCTCCTCCCTTCCTACCTCCCCCTCCTCCTCCTCCTACTCCTACATCCACCTCCGCATACCCCCTCATCTTTCTTCTCCAACCAACATACCATGTCCCTCTCCTCACTCTCCTCCTCCTCCCCTCCTCCCTCCTCCTCCTTCCTTCTCACTCCTCCTCCTCCCTCCTCCTCCTCATCCTCTTACCTCCTCCTCCTCTTCCTCCTCCACTCCCCTCCCTTATCCTCCCCAGGTCTATCCTCCTTTTCCACCACCACCACCTCCATCATCATCATCATTCATCATCATCATTCCATCATCATCATAATCATCATCATCATCATCATCATCATCATCATCATCATCACATCATCATAGCATCATCATAATCATCATCATCATCATCATGAGATCATCATCACATCATCGTCATCATCTTTAATATCATCATCATCATCATCATCATCATCATCAGCATTCATCATCTTCATCATCATCACTCATCATCATCATCATCAGCATCATCATCATCATATCATCATCTATAATCAGCATCATCATCATCATCATCATCATCATATCATAATCATCATCATCAACAGCATCATCATCATCATCATCAGCATCATTCATCATCATCATCATTATCATCGTCATCATCATCAGCAGCAGCATCATCATCATCATCAGCATCATCATCATCATCATCAGCAGCAGCAGCAGCATCAGCATCAGCATCATCATCATCAGCATCATCATCATCATCCTCATCATCATCATCCTTATCCTCATCCTCATCATCACCATCACCAGCACCATCATCATCGCCATCACCATCACCGCCGCCACCATCACCACCACCGTCATCATCATCATCATCATCATCATCATCATCATCATCACCATCAGCACCGCCATCATCATCACCACCATCCTCATCATCACCACCACCACCACCATCATCATCATCATCAGCATCAGCATTCTCGTCATCAGCATCAGCATCAGCATCAGCATCATCATCGTCAACATAATGAACATCATCATTAGAATTATCAACATCATCATCATGATCACCATCTTTATCATCACCACCATCATAGTCATCATCAGCATCATCATAGTCATCGTGGTCATCGTCGTCGTTGTTGTCATCGCCGTCGTCGTCGTTGTCGTTGTCGTCGTCGTCGTCGTCATCGTCATCGTCATGGTCATTAGCATCATCAGCATTACCACCATGACCACCACCACCATCATCATTAGCATCATCATCATCATCATAACCAAAACCATTATCATCGTCGTCATCGTCGTCGTCGCACCACCATCATCAGCATCATTATCCTGATCAGCATCGTCCTTATCATCACCAAAATCATCATCATAATCATCATCGTCATCATCAGCATCATCGTCCTCAGAGCAGCAGCAGCAACACAAGCAGCAGCAGCATCAGCGTCATCATAATCCTCGGCAACATCATGATCACCATCACCAGCATCATCACCAGCATCATCATCACCACCACCATCACCATCACCATCAGAATCATCATCATGCTCCTCATCGTCGTCATCATCACCATCACCCTCATCACCATCATCATCATCATCATTATCATCATCATCAGCATCAGCAGCAGCATCAGCAGCAGCATCAGCGTCATCATCAGCATCATCAGATCATCATAATCATCATAATCAGCAGAATCATCATCATCAGCATCATCGTCATCAGCATTACCATAATCGTCATCATCTTCATGTATAGTAAATTGAGTAAGGAGGACGCATGCAGGCGATAGCACTGGGGCCGTCAGTGGAGCCCCCTACGGGACCACGAAACACGCTGTACTGGGTGGGGGGGACGCATGCGGGCGGTAGCACTGGGACCTTCGGTGGAGATCCCTAGGGGGCCACGAAACGCTGCACTGGGTGGGTGGGGGAAGCGCATGCGGGCGGTAGCGCTGAGACCTTCGGTGGAGCTCCCATTGGGGCCACGAAACGCTGTACTGGGTGGAGGCACGCACGCGGGCGGTAGCACCGGGGCCGTCGTTGGAGCTCCCTGTCAGGACACCAGGTGCTGTACTGTGTAGGGGGACGCATGCGGGCGGTAGCAATGGGGCCTTCGGTGGGGCTCCCTATGGGGCCACGAAATGCTGCACTGGGTGGGGGGGGACGCATGCGGGCGGTAGACCTGGAACCTTCGGTGGAGCACCCTATGGAGCCACGAAAGGCTGCATTGGGTTGTGTGGGGGGGACGCATGCGGGCGGTAGCACTGAGGCCTTCGGTGGAGCCCACTGTGGGGCCACGAAACGTGTGAGGGGTGTGCCAAATTGGGTTTTCGTGACGCATGCGGGGGTCCTACTGGGGGCTTCGGTGGAGCTCCCCATGGGGCCAGGAAACGTGCGCAGGGTGTGCCAAATTTGGTTTTCGGGACGCATGCGGGCGGTGGCACTGGGGCCTTCGGTGGAGCTCCCTATGCAGCCACGAGACGTGTGAGGGGTGTGCCAAATTTGGTTTTCGGGACGCATGCGGGCGGTTCCACTGGGGGATTCGGTGGAGCTTCCTATGAACGCAGGGAGGAGGGGGAGGATTGGGAAGAGGGAGGGAGGAGGAGAACGCGGGGACCGTCTCTTCTCCCCGAGCAACACTCCCCGGGGGAACATGGACAGCAAAGGCTACGATGTCACAGGGGCAGCCCATCAAGAAGCATTCAAAATACAACTCAAGAGCCCAACCTGTCGCGGGCCCCGACGGACAGGCCGAGGCGCCGCGAGCGAGCAGATGTGCCAGCAAGAGAAGGGCACGGCTATCGCAAGCTTCCGGGAAGGACGGCCACGCCACTCAGCGACGTTGGCCTCGGGTCGCGTTGATACAGCCCACCAGGGGCAACTCGGAATCTTTGAGGGGGGAGCTCGCAGCTCCAGACCCACCCAAACGCACGGCTCCGCGACGCCCAGGACGTTGGACGCAGGGCAAAGGCGCAGGGGATATACCTCACATAGATTTGCAAACGCGCACGCTCTGCATTTGCGCGCGCCCACGCCAACTACGTCGCCCGCGCAGCGTCTCCGGCCAGGGAGTGGAACGCCCAGTCAAGGGGGCCGTTCGAAGCCAGTCGCGCCAAGCCGTGGCCCTAGAAGCTGAGCGCGAGATTCGAACCGACACACGAGCACGGAGAGTGCCTCACCAAATGAGACCCCTCCGATCGGGAGGCCCTGCATCCCGCACATGGTACCAGCCAAGGACAGACTGGACATCCAGGACATCGCCACCTGAACGCCGCGAACTTCGAACGACGATATCTTGAACCACCCAGGAGGGGTCGAGCCAGCACAGGGTCTTGTTTGGGGATATCCACGCCTTGTCGGTGGACCAGCTCCTCAGCAACTCTCGCCCATCTCTCCGACACTGCCGACGCGCTGCGCTGTTCAAACTGTTCAAACGCCCGGCCTGCATCTGCTACTACGGCGCTGATCACGGGGACGGGCTGGGAGCAACGCGGACACTGACGGACAAGGCCAGAACAGAGGGAGCGACGAAGACGACAAATCTCATTCGCTGCCGCGTCGGCGCAGAAAACGCCCCAACTCAGACCACTCCTCAGGTAAGCACGAGGAAGGGCCCCGCGAAGGCCGCGGCAACGGTTCGGAGCAGGCCCCCTCACATAACCGGGGGGGGAACTAAAAGAAACAAAATACTCAGGAAAACGCATGGCGACTTGGGGCCCGTCGCGAGTAGCGAGAAAAACCTCGGCGAGCGCAACCTTTGGGGGGCGGCGCGGCGACCGCGCGGCCCCGCGCCCACGCGGCTGCACCCCGCGGCGAGACATCAAACCCGTGGGTCCAGCCCAGGACTGCCATCGCAAGCCGGTGGAGACACCACGTCAGGCCACGGCCGTCACACGCCCACACCTTGTCGCGTTCCTTGTCAGCTGCAATGATTACGCACTCGTCGGGTTCCCCAGTGCTCTGCCCCGTCCCCTGCTCCACGGTACCCCGCTTGGGCGGAGCTTCTGGCGGCGCGATCCAGCGGCTGCTGAGCCACATGCTCAGGTTGCAAAAGCCTCTGCGGAGCGCGCGGAGTGACACGCGCGCCCCTGGAGAGCACCGGAGGTGAGGTCTGCGCAGGAGCGGCCGGCCGCCACGTGGTCCTTCCAGCTGGGCTCCTTGGCGAAGACAGCCCCCTGCGGGTGGGCGCACGCCTGGCGGGCCGGGGCGAACTGGGTGGATCGCGCCATCGCTGCGGTGGCACAGAGCTGACCCACTCGCGGTACTCCATGGCCTGGAACACTGACGGTACAAGAAGGTGGATGCGAAGCACTTGGTAGCCGTAGACGTCGAAGGCGCTGTTCAACATGATGCATCGCCATTGGCTGTCGACGGAATGACTTGCGAAAGACACGGGCCAACGGAACTGCAAGTTCTGAGCGCGCCCCTATCTCGAGACGACTTCGACGCCCGAAAACACGGAAGTCTTCCAACTTCGGCGCCGAGAAAGCCAGTTGGAGCCCGAGTCGTCGCCCCTCGAAGAGCCAAAGAGGTCCAACATCTCCTGGGAGATGATTGCGTTCACGTGTTTGTAGCTTGTATAAGGCTGCGAGCGGCGCGGAGTCTGACAACGATCCTGGACAGGCTGCTGCGACCACTTGATCTGCACTGGGCGGTAGGCACTCGGATCTAGCATCTTTTTTTTTCTATCTACCAGCGTTAGCATGATATCGTGCATGAGCTCATCCCGCACAACAACGAGGGCACCGCATTCGAGGCGCACCTGTTCGCCGAGACCCGCAAGCTCAGATGTGGCAACCTCCTCGGGAACGTCCTCAAATGTGGCCGTTCTCGGATCTGGCACCTGGAACCGCGGAGAGCCACGCCGGGACACGCGTGGTGGCGCGCGGCCCTCTGCACCACGACGGTGGGCGGCGCCCCCGAGGGCGGCGTGCCTCTTCTGGAGTTGCACGGAGTGGGCCTCGGGCTCCGTGGCATCTCCCCGACCACACCTGTGGTTGCCAACGTCGGACCGCCATCGCCTCAGAACGGAATGATGGCCCTCTTCTGCGCGAGGAGGACGGACAGCAGGGGAGAAGAATGAGCCCACGCTACGTTGAGGTACCCAACACCGCGGTTGGCGCCCCAGGCCGATGCGCGGGCGCAGCACTGCTCGAACGGGTTCTGCCACACGGCCGAGAGGACCTGGTAGAGCGGCATCCCAGAGCAACGCTTGGCCAACATACAGCCCTCCATGGCTGCCTGAGACATCAACTGTAGCTCACAACTCTGACTGAGGAGGTCCAGGGCAGCAACTGAGAATCTGGGAGTCGAGCGGATGATGTTTATCGTTGATGGCCGCGCAGAGGTCGGGCGCCGCCATCGTGAACACCTGGCGCGCCCAAGCTGGCACCGCGGCTTGCGCCAGGGCCCGCCGAAGTCGGAGGAACGCCAGCATCACGAGCGAAAAGCAGACGATGCTCCACGAGTATACGCACCGACAGGGTCTGGAATTTGGGATTCCTGGGCCAGCAACCGATTGCAATGTATTCCAGCAAGAAAAAAGGAGTCGAGGAAAAGCGTGTCGATGGAACCTTTGAGACCATCCTCGCTAAAAGCGCACTGACTGCCTCGTTCAGTGGCATGCTGCCCCCCTTGTGGTACTCTGGGTAGCAGTAGTCTTTCGCGTGTTTGAGCGGCAGCGGCCAACGGACCATTAGGCGCCCTCTCGCCTCCTCTGAAGCTAGCGGGCCGACGACCAAGCCTCGTCCGAGAATGTCGACCACTGCCGGTTCCCGTCCGAGCCGATGTCCATCCCGATGCTAGGGAGACTGCGAAGGATCACTATGTCGAGAATCTCCTCCGAAGGTGCCCGATGGTTCCGCAAGGCATGTCTCCCTGCTCAGCGCGCTCAAATGATTGCAACAGGATGTCCATCCACCCATGGAGGTAATCGCGGTGCGTCCCAGCAATCAATTACACATGCGGTCCGAGGAGTCGTCTTATGTCTACACGGTTATGTCCCTGCTGTAGTACGTCGAGGAGGTTTGCCATCGACGCGTCAACTCTGGGAGGTACGTAGAATGTGCAAAGCTGTGGCGTCTTCAGCGCCAACACGAACGATTGAAAAAGCACCCCGCCTTCCCAAGCGACACTCGAACTCTGATAGAGAGGCATTGTATGCGATCGTTTCTTATAGGACGACGTGAGACAACCTCGCAGGCTGTGAGCGTCGCGTGAGCCTGCCAGGTCCCCTGGTAGATGGAGGGCGAGAGCGAGAGCGAGACCGACAACGCGAGCGAGAGCGAGAGCGAGAGAGAGAGAGAGAGCGAGAACCAGAATGAGAGACAGCGCGAGAGAGAGAGAGAACAAAAAAAAAAGAGCGAGAGCGAGAGCGAGAGCGGGAGCGGGAGCGGGAGCGAGAGCGCGAGAGAGAGAGAGAATGAGACATGTATGAAAATAAACGGTTCCCTCCTGCCTGCTGCTCCTCCCTCTCCTCGTCCGATGATGATGACGACGACGAGTCCATGCCGCGCAAAGGGGCGCGCGGACCAGGAGCAGCAGGACGATCCCGGCAGCGAAGAGTGCCTGAAGGCGGGCACGGCGGCGCGAGGGGGAGCAGGAGGACAGGAGACGGTAGACTGGAGGAGGACAGGGCGGCAGGAGGAGGGCCACTCACAGCGAGAGAGACAGAGCGAACGCGAGCGTGAGAGAGAGAGAGAGGGAACAAGCAAACAATGAAACAGACCGCAGGTGCTCCGCCGATGCCGGGGCCAACAGCAGCTCCCCCGCGCTCGAGGATCAAGAAGGGAGGAGGAGGAGGAGGACGAGGAGGAGGAGGAGGAGGAGGGAGGGAGGGAGGAGGAGGAAGGAGGAGGAGGGAGGAGGGAGGGGGGGAGAGGAGGGGAGGAGAGGAGGAGAGAGGAGGAGGAGGAGGAGGAGGAGGGAGGAGGAGGAGGAGGAGGAGGGAGGAGGGGGAGGGGGAGGAGGAGGAGGGGGGAGGGCAGGAGAGGGAGGAGGAGGAAGGAGAGAGAGGAGGAGGAGGAGGAGGAGAGGAGGAGGAGGAGGAGGAGTGAGGGGGAGGAGGGGGAGGAGGAGGAGGAGGAGGAGGAGGAGGAGGAGGAGGAGGAGGAGGAGGAAGGGGAGAAGAGAAGGAGGGGGCTCGTCGTCGCCGTGGCCGCTCCCCCCTCCCCTGGGCCCTCCTCCTGGAGCGGTTCAGCTCGACGGGAACCGAGCAGGGTCGTCCTTGTCTCGAAGGGAAGAACCTAATGGGGAAATTAGGACACACAAATAAATACACACAAATAAAAATAGTCCCCATATTTTCCCATATTTTCTGGGTTTTTGTCTTCCCCCCCAATTCCCATATTTTCCCATATTTTCCTGGGAATCGAGGATTAATTGTGTCTGTGTGTTTTTTTCCCTCCTGAGGAACCCCCCTTCCCTTTGATCGCTTCCCTGGCGGGGGGGGGGGGGGCGGGGCAGCGCCGAGGGGTCACGCGGGGAGGTCCCAGCGGGGGCCTCGGGAAGGCGGAGGGGCCTCGGGGGTCGTGCCCTCCCCCCCCCCGGGGGGCCCCCGTGCGGACACGGAGGATAGGGGCGTGGTCCCCTTGTGGGCAGGGGGAGCTCAGGGCCCCTCCCCCCGCCTCCCCCGTGGACCAGGGGACCACCAACACCTCCTCCTCCTCCCAGAGGCCTCCCATCCGCTCCGAGGCGGCTCCATTGGCACAGGAGCCTCCCAAGAAGCACTCCCCAAGAGGCCCCCAAACAGAGCCCAATAGTCTCCCAAGAGAGGCCCAAGAAGGGCTCCTGAGCGTCAGCATCATCATCGTCGTCGCCGCCTCCGTCGTCGTCGTCGCCCTTCAGGGTCGGCGGCACCAGCCCTGAGGCCTTCCCGATACCTGCAAGAGCTCCGCATATGCCGGGGCCAATTGTAGCTCCCCCGCGCTCGAGGATCAAGAAGGAGGGAGGAGGAGGAGGAGGAGGAGGAGGAGGAGGAGGAGGAGGAGGAGCAGGAGGGGGAGGGGAGGGGAGGGGGAGGGGGTGGGGGAGGGGGAAGAGGAGGCTCGAAGATCCCGGTTCTCGGCAAGCTTGGGCCCTTGTGGTCGGGGGGTCTCCAGAGCCTCGCGGAGGCCTCCGGGAGCCTCTGGGAGCCTCGCGGAGACCTTCCAGAGAGGCCCACGGCTCGGGCGGCCTCGAAGACGTCGAGCCGCAACGAGCTCGCGATGTGTGGGGGGCGGGCGCCTGGGGGAGGCCCGGGCCGGCCCCCGTGGCAGCGAGGAAAAGAGGAGCACTTTCAGCCCGCACAGGAAGGGTGCGCGATGAGGATGCAAGGGCCTTGGACGCCCATTCCGAAGCTTCTCGAGCGGGCCGCGGCCAACGAGAGCGGCCAGGGAGGGGCCGAGAAGGCAAGGATGCAAAGGTACCCTTGGGAAGGTTGCCCATCCTTCCTATGCGGGTCGACTGCACTTTCCTGCTCGGCGTTTCGGCACTGGGCGGCAGGGGAGGGGAGGGGGGGGGGGGTCTGGCTCTGGACCTCTGCTTCATGCCACGGTTTGCAGCAGTGCGCCCTCGGGGGCAGGAGGCTCCACCTGCCCCACACACGGGGCCAAAAGCAGCCAAGATCTGCTCCACTGGGGGGGAGGAAGGGTGGGGTGCGAGGGCCCGCGCCGATCGGCAAAGCAATGAATAAGAGAGCAACGACAAAGAGCCTCGCGTGAGAAGCTTGTCTTGGGGAAGGTCGAAGGGTCGGCCCGGAACATCCAAGCGAATCCCATGGGGCTTGCTGGCTTCACCCCTACCCCCCCCCACCCCCGCCGACGACGACGACGACGACGACGACGGCGACGACGACGACGACGACGACGACGACGACGACGACGACGACGACGACGACGGCGGCGGCGACGACGACGACGACGACGACGACGACGACGACGTGCGGTTTACTGGCTTTACGCCGCAGCACCTCCCTCGCCTGCGCTCTGGAGGTGGCTGGCAGTCTGGCGCGGAGTCTGGCCTTGGCAAATCGCAGGAGGACTGGCGAGCGACAGGCGAAAACCCGTCGGGGTAAGCGTCTGGCTTGACCTGTCGTGGCTCTGGGGCCCTGGTACCAGCGCCGACATCTTGGCAAGGAGGCGGGACAAGAGTTAGCTCGGGCATGTCCTCCTACAGGCGGATGTTGGACGAAAAAACAGAGATGTAGTGCAACAGTGGTCACTAATGGTGAAACATCGTCCCCGCACTATGTTTGTTGACTCTTTTGTTTGAACACTCCTCCTGCAGAGGGGCAGGCCCAACTTAGGACAAGAGTGGCAACGAGCATCTGGAGGAGAAGGAGGAGGAGAAGGAGGAGGAGGAGGAGGAGGG